AAGGAACTGCTCCTTCCTATGTTGTGTTTTGCGGGCAGCATTTTGGGGTTATAATTTTTTATTTATTTAGCTTGGTATTCTTAGCAACTGCAGAAAGTTTATTAAAAAGTGCCGGAAGACTTTAAGCTCTTCATCCAAATGTATTACTTGGGCTTACGGTTCTGTATCAAGCATCCTTATTTCAAGGACATAATTTCCTTTGTTCGTCCTTGCGTAAAGAAGAAGGAAGGCTTTGTGTTTCTTTAACCACAAAAGATGCATACCTACTTGACACATGCCCACTTGCTCTGCTCCACCAGTGGCTTACATGCACTGTATTACTGCTTTGTGTTCTTTCTGTCTGCTCCTTCTCCCCTCTGCCAGCAATGTCCAAAAAGCAGCTATTATCTGAAGTGTAAACAAAGAATGGGAAAGATACATCAGGAACAGATCCATCCCTGGCCATAGGAGGAACTTCATTATGTGGTGGTCTGTGCTGGCCACTGGGAGGGATGAGCTACTGGAGACTCAATAATGCCCACAAGGTGTGAACTCCAGCTGAGGGACATTCTTCTGTGTCTAGAAACTGGTCAATCAGAGCAAACTTTTTTTTCCCCCCTATATTTACTATACACAAAGGAAGTGGCATGAGATAAAAATCAACTGTCTCCATTAAAAGGAAATGCAGTAGAACGGTGTATTTACTGAGCTTTACAAATACAGCCTGAAATTTTAAAGATGTCTTCAGTGTAATAAAACATAGTAATAAGCAAGACAAACTTTACATTGATGGTGCAATTAGATAAATTCACTAGGCAACTTTGGAAGTTTTGGCTAAACATTTAGTGTTTGTTTCTTTTTTTTTTTTTCCCCCCATGAAAAAGATGTAAACATGTGTGCACCAAACCTTTCTGAGGAAGGGTTTGAATTACTTACAATTAATCCACTATCACCCCTTTCCAGATGAGTGGAAAGGAACTCATTTTTGTCTAAAAGTTTTGAGAGCCAGTAGATGAGGTGCACAGACTCCATCTGCCATTGCTGTTTTCTGACTTCAACCCTAGCAGTCAACTGGAGGATAATGAGTTATCTAAACAAGGAAGGAATTTGGATTATCAAAAGATACTAAGAAATTCAAGTTGGTCATAGACTTTTATTGTTACAGCCTATGAGTCTCGCTTCATCTGCCTCTGTTGATGCTCCTCTATTCTGTAGTGAGCCAGCTCATTTCTTGCAGGCTTAGCTTACTGTGGTAATTATGCAACTGTTATTTCTCAGTTTATGACACCACAACTTTTTTTCCATTCAAATATGGTCAGTTTGCTTGAAGAACACTTTGCAATTCTCTAGCTGAACTGACATCGAAAAAATTTATTCCAAATTTTCCCCTTTATGTATCTTTATTAAGACACTTTCATTTTATTTTTTGTGATTTTAAAGTAATCTTGACTATCTTTGAAAATTCTCCATCTGAAAGACAGTAAATGCTAAAGGGTGTAAAAATAAGAAATAGGGGCATATTGAACTTTGCTGTCATGGCTGTGGCCTCTGTTATGAAATGGTCAGTTCACCTTCAAGGTGAACTTTCTCCAATGAGAAAGGAATAATTTCTGCAGGAAAATAACCCATACTTCAGCAATTCCCGAAGGAGAAGGAAAGAATATATAATCAGATTTCTAACTGAAGCTTGTTGAAGACTTGTTAGTGTAACTTAACAAACTGCTGCACTCCCAGGGACGGGCCTTTGGGCTGTTTGTTCCTTCACCAGCCCTACTGTCTCTGTCAATTGCATACACTGATTTAGAAATGTGATCTCAAGGCTGAACTGTGCTGTTCCTCAGAACCTATAGTCTGCCTGGCTGAAAATCAGCATGATTTTTGTCTTGGAAATGGCTTAGATGCTGTGAAAGGCAGCAATGAAAAGGAGAACACAGGACCTTAGGATTTGCTGATTTTTTTTTGAGATAATTTTGAAATAAACAGTACTTTGTCATTTGATCCTGGGGTTTATTGTGTATTTTACTCAGAAGGTAAATATTTATAAGAAGGTGGGATGTTTTACTTGTAGATACTGGAGACAGAAGCAAATATTGAACTATTGCTCATTTATATTCCTTCTTTGTAGTGAATGTGACAGTATACCTGTGGAAGTAATAGTGAACAATAATATAGTTAGAGACTATAATTAAGGAATTATAGAGATTATAGATAAGTATATATACTAGGGATTATAATCCATACTCTAAGGAGGGAAGTAGGACATTTCACAGGCAGTATGAATTCTGGCAGTAAATAAATTTGAAGTGTTTGCTTTTAGTTTTAGTTGCATTTGGTGAGTAATTAGAGGTTGGTGAGGGTATTTATATGCCTACACTTACATATACTTGCATAAAGCTAGAGAGGATCTGAATTTTTCATCTTGGAAGTGAAATGTAACTGTTTTTTAACATCTTCTGATATTTGCTGTAAATTCAGGAATGCTTCGCAAGTTTAATGCAATGTTCATAAACTTAAACTTTTATCTATTTAAATAACTATTTATCCCTTCATAGGTGAACATCCAAGCCAGTTATCACTCAGAACCATACTCCCCATAGTGTAAATTTTATTCAACTAAAAATATCATTCTTTAATTTTTCTTTAAGCCTTTTCCTGGCTTTGTTTAATCTCAGACTAGAACCAGAGACTCATAAATCTAGTCATTTTTGTACTGTCAGAAGCCACAAGGAAAACCAGTGATCAATCAGTATTAATTTCACAGGGACAAGAGGTAGTTTCATGTCTTGTCAAGGATTTTTAGATTGTATCTTTTTTTTTTTATTTCTTTTTTTCTACCAGGCTGCAGAGCAAATAGAAATAAAACACTAATTATTTGCTACAATTCAACACTCAGTTTTTGTATCTGAGTAGCTTGGCATTTTGTTATAAATGTGGAGGTGGGAGGGGGAGAGAGAGAGAATGTGTCTGTTAATGGAACAAATTTGAAAAGAAAAAGGTCTCCTGCAAGAGGATTAGAAAAAGGAAAAAAAAAAAACAAAAACAAACAAAACAAACAAAACCAAAACACCTTAAAGTATGGAGTGATTAATCAAGAGAGCCGATACTAGAGCATTTAGTGAACACAGAAGATTAATTTGGTAATAATTACAAATAAAAGTTCTTTTAATCCAAAACCCACAAATGTCATATACTTACTGAAGTAATTTATTTTGTTCACGTTGATCAATTACTATATTTCTTCTCTCAATATGTGAAATTAATTATTCCAGAACTAAAAAAGAATGGAATTTCTTTCATCAATTTTGCCCCAAAATTGTGTGTAAGAATGTTTTTGATTTTTTTAAAAAGAAGCAGTTAAGTTTTGACTTAGATTTAAGCATTTCAGCTGACATTTAAGCTGTCAGACCACACAACTCATTTATTTTTACATTAGTTCTACTATAAACAGAAAACATGATAACAAACCATAATAAGAATAATTTTCCTTGGAGTAATTACAGACTATAAATTTTTTTTAAAGTAGCAAAATTCAGGTTCTAGAAAATTTAGAAAATGTTATTACTATCCTGACAATGATACCTCTTGACAACTGCAAGACATTTAACAGTATTTAAAAATTTTGGTACCATACCAAAAAGTCTCCTGAATGTTATTCCCTCATTGCTCACATTACTGCAGGCACCAACTACATGTAAGTTCTGTTAATATTAAAAGTGATTTACTACCTTATGTGAATTTTGTTGAGTGATAGTTTCAAAAGCCAGGCCATGTGGTGCTCTTAGATAGTATAGGGGAAAAAAGGGTATATTCCTCCATTCTGTTAAATCCTAACCCAGTCATAGGAAGCAAACGGCATAGACAGTGGTTGCTTCTTTAGCTATATGCCCTACATTTTCTCCCCCCGAGGTCTACCGGTTTAATTCAAAACGTTTTCATGAGATTTTGGAGAGAAAAAGATCTTGTCTGATTAGAGGCTGGAGATGGAAAAAGTCCAAGCTCTTTACAGTTTGAAAAGCTGTTGGCAGATAAAAGCACGGAGGAAGAGGAGAAAATTGCTGTGGGTTAGAGAAGCCACAAATAGGTATGATAAACCTCACAGCTAAAAGAAATAGCTACATTTATTTTTTCCTTGGAGCTGTGTGAAGAGACATACCTACCCCTAGATAACAAGGTCTGAGTCTCCACTCTGAGATTAATTTTTAAGGATTTTTAAATCCTTGTGATTTAAATATATTTGCATATGCTTTTTTTCAGTCTTCTAAAACTTCTTGGGATACTGTAATGTTTTGAACCTTTATTTAAACATATAATTTCGAATTTATTCAGTGATGTCCAGACCATTTATTTCTCAGACATTTGTGGGTGACTGGTATAAATGGTAATTTACAAGGATGTTGCTGGTCTTAAAAGCTTTAATTAAAGCCCATAGATTATTAAACTAACTGAGAACAGGAAATATTTGATATAATTTTGGATACTTCTTCAGTTATTAAATTTATTTAGAGTAGAAAGAAGATAGGAAAAAATTGTAGATGTGGATACTTAGCTATACAGTAAATAATCTACTGAAATTGCTCAGCAAGGGGACTGGTTAAGATAACACAAGGAAAGTGTTAGGTGGCTAACTTTACTGTGCATCTGAAAAAGATTTGCATATTTCAGGTGAAGAAAAGGTGACAGCCCAAACATGAATGATTGCAAATACATCCACCATATTCCATCCACTTTAAAAAAATCTCACAATCTACCATTTTGTCTACTGGGTAAAGCTGTCTTCTGGCTTCCAAGAAAGGCAACACTATTGCATCTAACACCTGCTTTGTTAAAGCCATATGGATACACCTGATGTCTATGAATTAATCCTGCTTTCACACAAAATAATTTACCCAGTGAATTGTTAGTAACATGCAAAATTGTATCCCTGAAGTCTCAGTAAGGATATTTTTCTTTGTTACTTTAGGTTTATTTTCAATAATTCTTGTCTTTTTCTCTTTTTTTTTTTTTTTTTTTTTTTTATGCAGAGGATTACTACTTCAGGAAAACAGCAGGTTTTCAGAGGCATTGCATTACTATAAACTGGCAATTGGTAGCAGACCCACACTAGCTTGTAAGTATTTCAACTGCACAAGCTTGCATAATATTGACTGTAATTTTTTAAGGAAATGACTCTTTCATAACACTTCTTCTTTTTTCAGAAGCTTTTCACTTGAAAAGCAAAAGGTAAAACTGCACTTCTCAGTTGAAAGCAAGGGTTTATTAATCGACAGCTCCATTTAATGTGGTGCAGAGAAGCAGATAATCAGGTAACACTGGGCAACACTGCTAGAACCTAAAATGCTTCTCATCTAGGATAGTGAGCCATAGATGGTACTGCCCAAATTTTCAGGCTCCTCTTTTTCTAAAAAGCAGTTCTTGATTTTTGTGGTATGTCATGTGAGAGAATAATACAAATATTTTTAAAGTCCTTTCATTTTTCCTTTCTTGCCTGGAGAAAATGGGAAATAATGTATAGGATGTTGCCAGTGGTCAGTTCCAAAATTAAGTGGGTACTTTTTATGATTGTTGACTTTCCTGTATCTTCAGGTTTATATTATCTATATGTGTGTATATATACACAAACATGTATATACGTGTATATTTCTGTTACATTTCCAAAAATGACACTATATGCTTGATACAGTCCTATAAGAGAACTTTCTTTGTCTCTGAACTTTTACTGCTTATATGTTCCTCTTTACATCAGTGACTGATTAATATTTTACAAAAGCCAAATTAGAGGACCGTGGGATCTCTTTCAGATATTACTTTGAAATAAAACAAAGATTAGTTAAAACACAATGGAACGCCATTAAAAGATAGTAACTATTTTCCTTCTTCACAGCTGCCTATTTAAATACTGGCATCATCCTGATGAACCAAGGGAAGACAGAGGAAGCCAGGAGGACTTTCCTGAAGTGTTCAGAGATTCCTGATGAAAATTTGAAAGATCCTCATGCTCATAAAAGCTCTGTTACTAGCTGTCTTTATAACTTAGGAAAACTTTTTCATGAACAAGGACACTATGAGGTAAGACTCCAGATTTGTCTACAATATCATGATAAAATATATATCTGTAAATAATACCTATTGCTTCCATCCAGACTTTCAGAACATATCACAAGCACAAAATGACTGAATTTTGCCAAATCAAGATTAGCGTTCTCTACAGAGAATAATTATTCTCTACAGCCAGAGGAGTGACAATGTTAATTACCAGTGTGGTGTTCTGATGTCAGAGTTAGCATTAACAATGGTTGCATCTCATATATTGTAATTCACTTTTGGTTTTGGCTTTGTCCCCATGGATGATGTGCAAAGGATGTAGCCTGATTACAGATCAGCTGACCTAAAGTGTGCTGGCTTTTTAATTCAAAATAGAATAAATCCATATTTAGCTGGATTACGTTTGCTTTTGAGTCTCCAAAATAAGACCTAGTTGGAACAATTCAAAACTTCAGTGATTGAAAATATCCCACTATGTACTATTTTCAGGTAACTCGACCATATTGCTAAAGTGGGTAGGATATTTTTCACGTAAGCGTATGCTACGTATATGTTTCATTTCTATCTGCATTGTGATTCCTCTTCATTCTCCCGCATGAAGTTACTAAAACTGGGCATGTGCTTGAATTTTGACCTTTAGCAAGGTTTTAAAGAAAGTCATGCTCAGTTTGCAGTGCCAGGCATACTTCAGAACAGGAATTACACATGGGTTTGATCCATATAACTCTTCTGGACTGTGACAGTTCCCTCAGCTGCTTAAGATTAGGCACGCACAAGCTCTGTGGATTCTCTGTCATCTGCTGATTGCAGCTCTGTCAGACAGCAGTTGCTAATTGTTTAAAACACCGACAGCTAATACATTCATAAAGATGAGAGAACAGCAGCATGTTGTCTGTGTGGCCAACAGAGTGCAGAGTTGAAGTGCAATACCTGGGAGGTGCAAGGGATTTTAACAATATAAACCACCAGATTTCTGCCTGGTGGTCATTGCTGTCTGATCCAGCCTTGATTTGGTCATCACTTAGATTTTTTCTTTTTCCTTAAAGTATACTTTAGCCTTCACAAGGTGCAACTGCTCAATGGGGTGGTGTGGAAAATGATGCAGAGCCAACAGACTGACCAGTAAGCATCCAAAGTGCTGAATCATAAATGTGTGATCAAGTAATTCAAGGCACAGCACATTTGCCAAGGGAATCCAATTTTGGCCTTCCTGACCCTATAGCCCATCACATTCTTTCTGTGGAACAGACTTCAGTTGTGAGGATTATGTTTTGTTATTACTTGGCAGTAGACAATGATTTCTTTCTTTTTAGGTCACTTACTGTGGCTTAATCGTCAGAAAGTCCTTTGTCTGCAGTTTGATATTACTCCATATTCTCTGACAGCCTATAGAATTTTATGTATGTTTATAAACTCATGAGTCATAGAGGGGTTTAAAAAAATGTTCCTTTTATCTCCAGCTGGAAATAAAGTTGCAGTATTTGAACTAACCTGATGACTTGTCAATAAGCTTCACTGAATTTGGTAAAACTTTTGTAAATGAGAAATGTGAACTTTCTCTGATATTTATGATACCAGTGTGCTTTCATTCTCTCTGCACCTTTCGTCTGGGGAAGTAAGATGGTTTGGGTTTACGTCACAGGTGAAAGACTGCTTCTGAAATTGGTGCTTTTCTAATGATTTGTCCCACTTTTGTGTTTTTGTTTTTTTTTTTTTTTTTTTTCTCCCCCTTCAGGATGCCCTTATGGTTTACAAAGAAGCAATACAGAAAATGCCAAGGCAGTTTGCACCACAGAGCTTATACAACATGATGGGTAAGTGCATCGTTGGTACTTCAGAAGGACACTTGAGGATTCAGGTGAGGTGAAACAAAAGGGCATAGCTGGGTGCTTGAATGAGCTAGTAAAACCAAAATAATTGCCTTCAGTAGATATGATCCAAAACAGGTTCTGAGCTCAAATGCCAGTAAACACAACACTGGATAAGGCACAATAAAGGATGAGACTGTTAGATACTGGATACCTTTAAGAATGTCCATGCAGCACTTGTACATTTAGAATGCATTGTGTTTTTCTCTGCCTCCAGAAAATCTCATCCACAATCCTGGAGACCTCATATGCAATTCATACAGTTTTTTTCTTTTAACCTCCCATTTAGTCATCTTTGAAACTAAGAAGAAACCATATTCCCTTCATGGAAAATGGAGTGAAATTGATTAAAATATAAGATTTAGCCTGGGTGTTCATTGTTAAATTTCCACGTAAGCCAATGAGATGTCTGAACAGGCCCACAGAGACAGCTGGAGTTTTTTGCACGTTATACCCAAAAGTTATTTCCCAACTGATGTACTTACTTTTGGTTAAACATCTACAGTGAGAGTGTTCTTCTTCCAGGACCAGCCTATATGTCCTTCAAAATTTTAGCAGGGTCCTTTCAATAGTGCAAGAAACTTTCATTTAACTGAGGTGGCTTTTTGTTTTTTGAACTTCAGCTCTGCATGTTCTTCATCACATCTATTTACAGGATCCATTAAACAGATAAAGAGATCAGGTTCTTCATTGTTCCAGAGATTTTTAAGTGGAATTCTGTCTGAAAGAAAAAGTGTTTCTGCTAAGCAACCTCAGCATCTGGCCCGGTAGCCTCTGTGAGCTTCTCTCTTGTACAGAAAAAGGATGTAAGATGCCTTTAAAGCAGTTCAGAGTAGAGCAATTAAGAATGTATGTAGAAACTATTAGCATCAACAGGAAGCATGTGGAATTTTGTGGCTTCCCCCACACCCCACCCAATGCGTAAAATACAAGGGAATGTGTTGGTTTATATGAATCGGTTTGTCACAGTTGCTGAAAGGAGGCACCACTCACTCTTCTCTACTTATTTAGAAAAGGCATCTTTTATTAGTTCTTTACAAGTATTTGGACATAGGAAAACAATATTCTAAAATTGTAGATGTAACTGATGCTACGTGTTTGCAAATCTCTGTAAATGCTAAATTGAGTACTTCTCTTGTCACCATAACAAGGTATCTAGTGTCAATAATAGCATAAACACTTAAGAGTTCATATGGTTCAATGGAGAGTTACTTCTCAATGAATGCTGACCTTTATCAGATTAATGCAGTTGATTATTACATGTTCCTTTCTTCACAGGGAGTCTTAGCTGAACTACTGTTTTATTAGTTTATCAGCATTTGCTGCTAAATGTGGTGGGGTTATCAAGAGTCACCACTCCATGAGTTAAGCCTCTGCTTACTGTCTGTGTCCTGTAGTGATTGCTGAAAAACTGTAGAGCTCCAGCAAACCCTCCAAAATTTGACTGCCCTCTTTAATGCAGATATATATTTTATAATTCTGATAAAAGTGCTCCTCAGAAGTACAGGACTGGGAAAAATAAACCAATGCTGTTTCTAGCATGATGGTTGTTCCAGCACAAAGCAGCCCCGTGTCACCTTTTTCTTTTTTCTTTTCCTGTGAATAGGTGCTCCTTTTAGAAACCTTGTGACCTGTAAGATTCTTTAGGTTTTTACTTTTTTTGCCAATCGACTACTTTTTTAGCTTAAGGAAGGCTTTCTCAGCTTTCTTTATAAGCACCATCCACGATGTCCAAGTTCACTGTGTTCCTGGCACTTGCGTTGTTTAACTCACAAAGCCGCAGTAAACACCGAGACCAGCTGGGTCCCTTGCCTGGGCTTGCCAAAGGAGGCGCTTCCTTCCTCCACTGCTCAGCCCATACTCTGCCTTCTTTTTCTTTAGGCAGCTGCTGACACTTCACAGATGTCCTAGCAGCATAACGAGTTAGGGTCAGCTAAGATTACCTTCGCCCTTTTCAGCCTGTTGCAAAGAGCAACAGACTCTTATGGAGTTCTGTGAAGTACCACTTAAGGTAGTATATATTTGTATTTTGTTTGCTATTGTGATAGCAGCTGTCGCAGGGAAACCAGAACTTGCTTTACTCTGGTTGCTGAGGTGTGGCTTGTGGGCTATGCTGCAAAGGCAATCCAGTAGGCCACATGCAGAGGTGGGCAGTGATTTGAGTTGAATGCAGGGCGCCTATATTAACAGCAAGGCTCAGACTGATTTGCTCAAAGCTGTCCTGATTGGATCTACCTGAGGGTACGTGACTGCAGTTAGATAGGTTGGCGTTTACTACCTGTAATAGCATAGAAGTTAGATGACAAGACAGAGCTAGGTAGGTGTGCTCACTTTATCGTGTGGAAAGAAAAAGATACCTCTGGGAAGTAATTAACCCCATCTGACCTAGACATCTATTTTGCATTACATAAATAATCCTCTGCAAGCATACCTCGCCTGTAAAAGGCGCTGAGATGACTGGCTTAGACTTATATATCGAGTTATGTGAGATAAATCCTAAACACCTATTCAATCATCTCTTTACCTCAAGTGTGACAGGAGAACAAGGTAACCACATCCATCATCAGGAGTGCATCTGCTCTGCAGCTCATAGCGTGTCATTGGGCATCAGAAGGCCAGCTGGATTGTTTATTTCTGTTTTGATGTTCAAGATAAAATTATAAACATATTCACTATCACACTTTCTTTAATAAACAGCATTACATAAACTTGTCTACCTTGTCTACCTACTTCTTGCCTTTAAAAGGGAGACTAGAGGAACTGAAATAGGCCAGTCCAGTCTCCTGCTCTTGAAAATATGTGAACCTGATTCTGAGCTGTTCCTACTCACTGTATGCTCATTGCTGGGGAGGATGAAGGAGAAACTGGGGAGTACTCCCCATCCGCTTGTAAAGGAAGGATCCTTCCCTGTCTCTCTACATGTGGAAAAAGTCTTCATGGCTTATCGTGAAATCCAAGAATACTTAGAGTCCAACAGTTATCTGCTGCAGTTGTTGTTGTGATTAGTGTATCCTGAGCCTGTGGCAAGCTTTGCTTGGTTCAACGTCACACATATTGGCATGTGATGTGAGGAAACAGTGCTTCCTCTGATTTCTAATAGTTATTCTTTCATGTCATTGAAGATTTTCTGGAAGCCTTTTTCCCTGTATGGTGTACATGACATGTTTGAAAGAGAGTAAACAGGAGATGAACTGTTTAAACTGAATTCGAGTTTGAACTCCAGCACGTTGAGTGCAGTAGCATTAACACTCCAGCAGTGTTAAGCCTTCATATCATCTGCTTTCCCTGTTTCTGTTACACTTCCTTTCCTGTACTTGCTTCTGTTGGCCTCCTGCTCTGATGGGCACAGTGACTCATTCCTCCAGTGTGCCAGTCTGCCCAGTTGACTCTCTTCCTTTAAAACTCAAAGTCACTTGCCTCTTAAAGAAAGAAGTCTTGGGCCTCAGGAAGCAAGCCATCCATGTTACCATGCGTTTTATTTATGGTACAAAAGGCAGGACCAGAAGACCAGCATCAGATGTTCTAAGTTTGTGCATATGAAAAGTTGCAGGGTAGATTTTGGTCTCCTGTTGCTGTGATTTATTTTGCCAGGTGTGCAGCAACACAGCTAAAGAAACCATATGTTTCCCTGGCTTTGTACCAAGATGTAAAACCTTTATTTTTTTATTTTTTTATTTTTTTTTCCCTAAAAGAACCCAAACCAGCTAAAAATTAAAATTCTAAAACTAGAATCAAAATAATTAGTGAAAAAGCTGTGTAGGCTTGGCTTGCTATCTACTTACTCTATGTCATATTTCTTTGATATAAATTAAGAAGTACATGCTAAGGTTACACAGATTAATTTGCTTGGCATGGCAACAGGCACTACAAGGGCCAGAGTCGAGCTCAGCTGCATTAAATAGGTAATATATTTTGTTTAAACTTTCAATTAAAACCTAGGGTCAAAAGATAAAATGGTCCCTGCGGGATTTTGAACACTTTAATGCCAATATTAGGATTGCTTAAGGATCAGCCTCTGCTCTAGATGTCTTTTGCGTTCCTTGAAATCTGATATTGTACAGTTGATTGTATTACATTGCTTTCAAAACCACACTGGCCCACCTGCTGCAGTAATTCATACTCCTGCCAGTTGAGTGGTGTGAGGTGGGCCAGGGAGGTTTTGTTTTAATACTGAACAGTAACATAAAGATGTTGGGGTGGCATTGTTCAGGTTTAGGTTGGTGAGATACTGTCATAAGGACAAATGTCTTGGTCGCACTTCATCTGCCCTTGCCAACTAACATCTGCATGGCTATTTTCAAATGTGTTTAATGCAAAGACTTACACATATTTTTGATGAGAAATTATAGTTACAAAAACTATAGTTATTGCAGGAGTGAATACAGTTAATGATTCATGTATTAGAATTTAGATTTCTCCCTGCTAATCTGCAGCATTGCACATGGACAGAAAACAAATCATACAAAAGTGGCGGCCAGGTACAGAGTAGGAAAGGGGAGCCAGATTTTACATCTGGTGCAGAGGTTTGAATTGAAAGTACAAAGGCTTAGCATGCAGAGAGATTTTCTGTGTTGATGATTATAACACAACTGTCACTTTATTTGATTATGCTTTTGGGTGGATGTGGCTGTTTGCATAAACCTGTTAATATTTTTAAGGCTCCTATCCCATTTGCCCCTTGTTGACATTAAATGCTTTTTTTATTGAATTACTTTTAAATATTGTTTAGAACTCCAAGAAACACTTTTGCTGGTATAGTTTTACAGTTCATGCTGTGCAAGACTTACTTTTTAAGAGCCAAAGATGGTTAAACTGTGAAATACATATCCCACATCATAACTTATGCAGAGCATGGTACCTGCACTTGTTTGAGCTCCAGTCATCAGTGTGCTTCCAGTGCATTTCATGTACTGTTAATTTCTTAGTAAATGTACATTAGAAACTTT